GGATGGCTCGTTTATGGATGGAATATAGCAATTTCATGATATGTTTGGAGCTGACCTCAATACTGGGTAACAATACTCAAAAGAAGGTCTGATCTGAGCCTCAAAGTTGCTGAGGTGTGTACAGTTTTCTTGTACGGAGCAGTGTTCCAAGCTTTTGGGAAGCAGCCTTTGCAATTCCAGCGACACGATTGTGCCAAGTCATATTATTAGTTTCACCCCAATTCGAAATCACTTCTAGATCCTCATTGAAATGTGCAACCTCCTGCTACCTGTGAAGATGTGCCTCCGTAGCCGATGTCCTGGAATCCAAATGAAATGACGAGAAAAGTATGCTATCGTCAGAAAAGCACTATATTGGATTCTTGTTTTTTTCCAATAAGTCGATGATATTCAATAAAAAGAGAGTTGAAGACAATATGGATCTCTGGGAAATACCAGCGTTGATGATGAAAGTACTCGAGAGATATCCATCGACGGCCACTTGCAGGAAACGTTCTCTCAGGAAGCTGAAGAGTAGTACACAAAATGATTCGACAAGCCATTGCATCAAAGTTTGGACGGCAAACCCTCATGCCCTACACGGTCAAAGGCCTTAGTAATATCAAGCGCAACAGTCTTGATTCTCCGAGTTTCTCGATTACGTTTTTCCAAATATGGGTGACAAGCGATAGAATGTCGCCTGTTAATCTCTGTTTTCGAAAGCCAGCTTGATGATCGCTCAAGTTGTTGAAGTTGTTAAACCATTACGACTTTCTCCATGATTTTCGATATCACTGATAGCAAAGCGACTGGTCTATAGTTATTTGAAAGATTTTTCTTGCCTTTTTTAGAATAGGCTGAACGCGAGCAATTTTCCAACAAGAAGAGGAAACCCCTTTCCCATATGACAGGTTGAAAAGTCTGCAAAATACTGGTGCGAGTTCATTTGCGCACTTTTCAAGTACGATGCCGGGCACTTCAGCAAGTCCAGACGCCTTCTTGATATTGAGCTGTTTGAAAATTTGCCTGACTAGGCGCTGTCTAACAGTAATTTCCGGCATTGTGAATTCTAGTATGGGAATAGTGGATGGTACCTTTTCCAGATAATCGACTGTGGAGTGGGACCCAAACTGTTCAGCTAGTAGATTTACTTTTTCTATGGCTGTTGTTGCAATTGAACCATCCGCTCGTGTTAGTGGTTGAATTGTGGATTTTGTAAAGTTTTGATTAACAGCTTTAGCTACCGACCAGAACGATCTAGACCTGTTGGGATTGGCAACTCAAGTTATGTTTTGTCGAAATCAACCCAGTTGCTGTTTTGTTCTTTTGGTGGAAAACCACCATTATGATGTTCAATGAGTACTTTCACGCATCTGAGCAGTACTGATATGTATTTCATTAAAAATCCAAACTAGATCCCTATTCATGAAATCAATTTATTTTTTCAGGAACAAAACTGAACGGAGATTTAAGCACCATAGGGACAAAACGGCTATATTTTTCAAATTTTGATTGTTCTTGTGTTCTAGAAACTGATCACCTCTGCCTCTAGTGGGGTATATAAAGGAAGATCCGTCGATCTCTCATAATTTGAAGTTCAACCTATCGGTATAACTAGCACACATTCAACTACCACTGTTATTGCAACTAACACTTCTTCTAAAAATACCTAAAAATAACGTCCTTGAATGGAATAATTTTCGATTTTGAAATAAGTACTCTTGTATCCAAAGACAACGCAAAAAAATATATCTTTGTAGCAATGGTTCATTTTTTCACTCCTTCAGGCAACTTCGTACTTGTATTCTGCTTGTTACAAAAAGTCAGTTGTGTCTGATCAAAATTCAAAAAATTAATTCAGGAAAATTGGAATAAAAACCAATATTAACGGAAATATTATTACGTCAATGGGCAAAAACCTTGCCCATTGTTATTAATAAAGATACTGTTTTCATCAAAGTTCAGTCAAAAAATCTTACAAAAAAATGATAGGCCTAGATCCCATGATGATCAAATATTTGAAACAGGTCGAAGAATTTTAATAAATCGAAAGGATGTTTTTATAACGGCTCTTCCAACAGGGACTTTCGATCTTTGACAATTGATAACAGTCATTTTGTTGAAGCTACATCTGTCAATTTACGTGGCATTTATTCAATCTGTTTTGCCACTTAACTATGTACTTATATAACATTCAACAACACTTACAAATAATAAAATTGTTTGTCATCAGTTCGGATTTCCATTGTCTAATATAATATAAATTGATTTGATAACCCTGAAAAAAATCAAAAAGATTAACCGAAAATAAAAGGTTTCCATATGTTACGTATTTCTACGCTAGCTTGCCTAAATGCGTTGTTGGACAATATATACGCGGCTTCTTTGAATTTTCTCCTAAACCAGTGTTCCTCTTTGTGGATGATTTCAGCTTGAGTCCACTTGATGTTGTGTTGATGAGTCCAAACATGCTCTGCTATTCAGGATTTTCTGGTTTTATTTGTTTGGTTGTTGTTGTATGTTAATTCTTTGTAATTTCAGTAGTTTGTTTAATGAAATTGTTATTTTCGGTTAATACTTTTGATTTTTTTCAGGGTTATCAAATCAATTTATATTATATTAGACGATGGAAGTGCGAACTGATGAAATACACCACGAAATATTGTCAACCACCTTCAAACCGAAATAAAATTGTTGTATCTAAATGCGTGTTCTGTTCGGGTAACGTACCGCGCGCTTCAGCTATTTTACGGTCGCCATAATTGTCCTATCGACAGGATTATTCGCAACGATAGACCAACACCCATATGTCGGCATACGCAAGATCTGCTTAAAACATCGCCTCTGTCTGTGAGAGTGTACAGGATGATCCAAGGCAGTCGAATTCGCGTCGCTCGCAAGAACTCGGCCTTCTGCAGGCCTCAACTCGGCGAATTTTGCGTCGTACAAAAATCAACTGGCCCAGGAACTGGGCTGAGAATGGGCTGAATAGGCTCTGGAACAGGTGAAAACTGACTCTAATTTTCATCAAAAAATGATATTCAGCAATGAGGCCCATTTCTGGATGAATGGGGGAATATACAACATTGTCGAATTTGGGACGATATCAATTTACATGAGATCCAAGAGCGTCCAATGCATCCTGAAAAAGTCACTGTTTGGTGTGGATTTCGGCCTAGCGGCTTCGTGGTTCATGAGAACGACGTTGGCCAGGCCATCACTGTCAACGTCGAGCACTATAAGTCGATGAATACCAACTTCTTTTGGCCTGAATTGGTGATTTGAACACCAATGACATGTGGTATCAACAGGACAGTGCTACATGCTACACAGCTCATGCCACATTGGATATTCTGCAAGGGCGATTCTAGGACATGGTCATTTCACGTGGGAGTGATGTGAACTGGTCACCGAGATCGTGCGATGTGACCCCGTTACACTTTTCCTTGTGGGTTATATGCAAATAAGCCACAAACCATAGCGGTCCTCAAAGCCAACACAACCCATGCCATCGGTTAAATTCAGCTTGATTTATACACCAGAGTCAAGAAAAACTGGACGTTTCGGATGCGCTCTACCAAGAGAAGCCGTGGCAGTGGATGATGAAGATGACTGTAGTAAGGATAACCTTCCCAATACGAATGGATAAAATGGTACCCACATTATAATAGAACGGAATACGGTGTGACGTAGATTACATTGTCGGGGAGCTGGCCCATGGCCTGATTCACTGATTAACTAAAACTAAGACCTAATATTTCAATTTGAATCTTAGTTGCCATGGAAATGATATTACAGTTTGACACTTGTGAAAGATTCAAGTGTACTATTGTAAACAATATTCACCTTACAGTTCTTCGAATTATTTTGTGTCATGGCTGCAAGATTGAGCGTAAGAGAGAAACTTGAAATTGTACGCCTTTCGGGAGATGACGTTAGAAGTGCTAGAGAGGTTTGTAGAGTATTTAATGGTAGACATCCAGATCGTCCTCGTATTAGCTGCGGTAAGGTAAATAAAATATTTAATGAAACTGGTGCAGTATCAAAAATGATGTTAAAAGGTAACCCTGTACAAAGACGAAACAGGAATGATCAAATCATTTTAGATTATTTCGGAAATAATCCTAATACCAGTATGAGGAATGCCACTTTAGATTTGAATATTCCACGAGAAACTATTCGGAGATGTCTCAAGGCGAAGAATATTAAACCTTTCAAGCCAAAATTTAAACA